TCCACCTCGGTCTGATCGTACTATCTTGATTTTCTTATTGTGCTGATTTTCAACTTCAGCTTTAAATATTTTGAATTTATCCAATGCTTCCGATCTTTCTTTAATTAGATAAATATTGCCATAACGAGAGTAGTCGTCTATGAATGTTATAAACGAGTCATAACCATCCACACTTTTCACAGGAAAAGGACCACATATGTCTGTGTGGATTATTTCTAAAATTCATGTGCTTCGTTTGGCATCTTTCTTAATTTTCTTGACATACTTTCCTTTGATACAATCAACACATTGTTCTAAATCTGAAAATTCTAAGTGCGGGAGAATTCATTCCTTAACCAATCGTTCTATTCTCCCCCTCGAAATATGGCCCAAGCGACAATGCCATAATTTCGAAAAGACAGTATCAATTCTCTTCCGCTTCTTAGTTACATCCGCAGATGGGGAATCATTCACATTCTCATCGCATACATTGTTCGCATTCTCAGCAAGAGATAATAAATAAAGCTTGTCTTGTCGGAAGGCAAGACCAACACATTTATTATTAACCAGTATCTTACACTTGCCATCACCAAAATGGCAATCAATTCCATCATCATCAAGTTTCGAAACACTTATCAAATTTCTACGCAAACAGAGAACATAAAGTACTTCTTTAAGTCTAAGTGCAAAACCATTATTCAATTCTAAAGAAAAAAAAACTCCAATGGCTTCAACATTGGCTTGCACTCCATTTGCAACTTCTCCTCTTCGCAAAGTTCTCGTCCCACTTAACCCCTGTAAGTAATTTGCAACATGAGTAGTTGCACCTGAATCAACCCACCAAGTGGATTTATCATAACATAAATACAGGGATTCATCTACAAATGTAATAAATTCATCACCTTTCTTTAGCAGAGATTTCAGGAAGTCTGGACAATCCCTCTTGTAGTGTCCCTTCTTGAAGCAGTGCTTGCACTGATCTTTTTTAGCTCCACCATACTGCTGATTCTCAGAATCCTGGGGTTTCTTTCCCTGTGAATTGGAGGAAGAGGCCTTATCCCACTTAGGTTTCCCTTGTGGTTTAGAATTCTTGCCATTAAAGTTCTTTCTTTTGTTATCCTTCACAAAATGAGCGGATTTACCTTGTGAGGACTTTATCCTCTCCTATTCTTGAGCACATATTGAGATAAGTCTTTCTATGCCCCATCTTTCAGGCTGCATATTATAGTTCACAATGAAGGTGTCATATTCTTTTGGCAAAGAAGCAAAAATCAAATGAATCAGGAAATCCTCCTCCTTCAAATTCATTTCTTTTAGCTTAGATGCCGTAGTGTTCATCTTCAAAATGTGCTCTCTTATGCTACCACCAGTGAATTTCTCATTCACAAGCTTCTTAATCAGTGAACTTGCTGTGGCCTTGGTAGACCCAGTAAACTGACTCTTGATTTTCTTAAGATATTCTTTGGCAGTAGCACATTCAGGGATTGAGCCCCTTATTTGTTCTTCTATGGTGGCTTTGGCCACCAACAGGCACTTGCGGTTCGAGAGAGTTCATTACCTATGTTCAAGGTCATATTTCATTATTATTTCAGCATGATCATGCTTTCGAGCAGCGAAATCAGCGTCAGATTGATTTTCACCTCTCATCGGGTCCTCTAGCTCAGTAGGACATGGTGAGGTGATGGCAAAATCGACCTCTCCCAACGCAAGTTCCAATTCATACTTCTCCCGCCATACACGGTGATTGGTCCCATTGAGTGTCGGGATGTTGGCAATGTTCATAATGCATTTGCCTTCTAAAATCACACCAGAGTAAGTAAGAAACATTTATACATAAAATTTCATACTTTAACTCAACGTTGGTCAAATTAAAACTTATAATTCATCCATGCAAACATTTTACATCACCGTTGGGAAGAAGTAAAATTAATGCATAATTTCTCATGGATCAAAAATTATAATATTGTTATTAACAACGTTGGTCAGAAAATAACAATATCATAATCGCATCAAAATTATCAGAAATTCATCACTTCTCTTAAAATTAAATTATCCCGTTGGTTCAAATTTAATCAAAAGAGAACGAAAATTATCATGCACAGCGGAAACATTAATAATCTTTTCATATTATTATTTTCCAGAAGCACTAAAAAAATTCACTGTTTTCTAAGCAAAATATCGTTGGATAAAATTTGCACAGAAAAATTGTATCAAAATCATTCAAATTCATCAAAAAATATGCATTAAAATTGCTCCTGGAAAAAAATAACAAATTTTTTCTTCTTCCATTTCACCCAGTACCGCTTAAGAGGCGGCAAAAGCCGGCTCGGCTCGATCCTCCGCGTCGCGAGCGCTTTCGCACACATAGCGTGGGCTGGGCTCGGGCAAAAGTGCCACGTGCTGGCTTTCGGCGCCACTTTGGGCGGACGGCCCGAGCATCCGTGCCGCATCTGGTCCGTTCATCATCATCGGACGGTTGTCCGTTTCCATCGCGGGATCAAAAACCGCGTCGGCTGACTCTCTTCAAACCCTAACTTCATTTCATTCTCGGTGCTCTCTCTCTCATCGCCTCTCTCTTTTCTCCTCAGCGCAGCGCAGCCGCAACCGAGAGCGAGCGACGACGAGCGAGCGGGCGGTGGAGCGAGCCTTGGCGCCGTCGCCGGCCCCCTTGCCGACGCGCGTGCTCCCCAACGGGTGAGCACGCCGCCGTCGAGCGGCCTGGCCGCGGCCCTTCCTTGGCCGAGCCCGGCGAGCCAGCGCCCCCGGCTCGGCTTCTTCTCCCGCGCTGGCGAAGGTTCATCCAACGCACGGCGAGGCAGATCCGTCCTCCACTTTCCCCTTTCTGATTTGAGTTGTTCTTTTCGGGTTCATCCGAATGGGAAACTAGGGTTAGGGTTAGGGTTCGTTCATATTCTTTCCTTTCTTTCTTCTTCCCCTTCTTCCCTCTTTCGGATTTGGGTCTAGGGTTTTCTCTTATCCGAAAGGATTTAGGTCTAGGGTTCTTCTTTCTATTTTCTTTTTTCCGATCCGCATCAGATTGGTCAGTTTCATTTCCTTTCTTACCTTGATCTGATTTCTTCTCTAACCGTGGCTCTGATACCATTGTTGGTTTTCTTTTAGTCATATTCATCAGATCGGGATACATAGTAATAGAATAGGAATACATGTTCAAGATTTACAGAGAGGTAGAGAGAAGGGGAGTGAGAGGTAGCAGACCATCAAAAGCCGTAGTGGTCGAAGCACCGGCCGGGATCTCGTTGGCAGACGCCATCTGCGCGCCGGCAGCGATGTTCGGTGGAGAGAGAGGAGTCGATGCAGTGGCGTCCTTGGCGGCGGCGTGTGCGTCGAGGTGGCGTTGCCGGCGTCGGTGGTGCTTCCCGTCGCTGGCAGCGCCCCTTCTCAAGATCGGGTTAGGGTTAGGATGTCGGTGGGGTGACTGGCGGCGCGGTGAACCTCGTACTGCGAGCCTCGGCCCCCACCTTTCCTTTATAGCGCTGTGCGACGGGGGCCCACCAACCATGTAGGGTTGGGCGCCCCCGATCAGGGCGCGAGAACAAGGCCCAAAAAGGCCGTTGGGCCTAACTGGTGGGAGATCAAACCTAACAGTGTTTGGTTGTCTTTGTTGTTGGCCTAGTATGAAATGAGATCTTGTTTGGTTGCATGCATGGATAAGGGTTTTGAGTGTATGACACATGGGTCCCTGCGCCATGCCTGAATCAAGCCATTCTGTATGGAGAGGGAAGTGGAAATTGAGAAGATGAAGTCGTGCGGGATGGAGAAGGGCAGATGAATGAAAGTATATAGGCAAAAAGTGCGAGGAGGACAACCAAACACACTGTATGAATAAGGTCAGACATCAAAACGGTGCGGAGACGGTCCGATTCGGTCTACTAATCTCGCCCTTAGCGATTCTTTTAGCACAAGAATAGCTTCTCTTTCCTCCCCTACGGGGGATTGTAAACTCTCTTCTATATCAATGGAATAGGCACAATCACGTGCTGATTGGTTAAAAAAATAGTTGCATACATTCTGTACCTATAAACAGCTCCAAATGGCTATAGTCCGGTAGATCTCGAGTTTGATAAATTTATCATAGTGTTTGATTAACGTGTTTTCTTCTCTAAAAACACGAATATACATTATTACGGCATGCACCCAGTCACCCAACAGTTCTTTGGAGGTGCTCATAGGAGTAGGGTGTGTGTCTGTGTTTATAAGAGTGAGTGTGCACTCATGTATGTGAGTGTCTGAGTTTGTAACTGGGTCTCGCAAAAAAAAAAAAAGTTTAACATTGGAGTAGTGACTTTCCGGTAAAAAGACACTGAATGGAACCACTACGAGTCTATGATCGATAGTGGAAACGCGTCTCTTTTGTGGAAAGAAGCTACTCCAGTGATCCAAAAGTTACCGGTAGACCAGAAGACAAACAATATGGAAGTGAGTGAGGAGTTTAATAAGACGACCACTCAGACCCACAAGGCCTGTTGGTGCAAATGAATTTATACAAAGCTAAGCCACACCTTCACTACTGCTTCCAAGCGAGGTCTCGCAAAAAACAAAAAAAACAAAAAAAAAGAGTTTAACATTGACTAAGAGTAGTGACTTTCCGGTAAAATTAAAAGACACTGAATGGAACCACTACGAGTCTATGATCGATAGTGGAAACGCGTCTCTTTTGTGGAAAGAAGCTACTCCAGTGATCCAAAAGTTGCCGGTAGACCAGAAGACAAACAATATGGAAGTGAGTGAGGAGTTTAATAAGACGACCACTCAGACCACAGGCCCTGTTGGTGCAAACGGATTTATACAAAGCTAAGCCGCACCTTCACTACTGCTTCCAAGCGAGTAAAAAATAAAAGGGAATGTACAAGGAATTCCAGCAGTAGGGAAGGTGGGGAGTAATAAAGCTCCTACAGACGACTCATCGTTGACGAGGGGTGATTAGTAGAGTATACGTGACTGATGCACGGGAGTCTCAACTCTCAACCAGCCCTCAGTCGTTCCCTAACCTCATGCACGCAATGGCGCCGCTGCCACACAACCTCCATCCCTGCCTACGCCGCCTAGACCTCCTCGTCGTCGTCGTGACGGTCGTCTCTGCGGGGTCCTCGCCGGAGAGCGACTTGTACGCTCTCTCCAAGCTCAAGTCCGCCCTACTCTCCGGGAGCGTCCGCAACAGTCCTTTGCTTGCTGACTGGGACATCGAGACATCGGCGTCAGGCGGCATATCATCCCGGACAAACCATTGCAACTTCTCTGGGATCAAATGCGACGCCTCCAACCGCGTCGTCGCCATCAACCTCACCGGCGTCCCTCTCCATGGCGGCGTGCTTCCAAGCGAGGTCTCGCTACTGGACGCTCTCTCCAGCCTCACCATCGCCTCGTGCTCCTTGTCAGGCGTTGTACCCGCATCACTCGCCTCAATGCCTCTCCTTCGCCACCTCAACCTCTCCATCAACAACATCTCCGGCTCCTTTCCGTCCCGATCGGCACCGCCGTACTTCCCATTTGCGAAGGTCATCAATGTCTTCGGCAACAACCTCACCGGTCCCCTCCCACCTTTTGGCATGTCGCTCGCAAGGATGCGGCACCTGGACCTTGGCTGGAACCACTTCTCAGGCGGTGTACCCGAGGAGTACGGTGACATGAACGAGCTCGAGTTCCTCGCGCTCGATGGTAACTCGCTATCCGGCCTTGTGCCGCCGTCACTCTCAAGGCTCAAGAGAGTAAAGGTGACGATGTATCTGGGGTACCACAACTCGTTCGACGGTGGCGTGCCGCCAGAGTTGGGCGAGCTTGGCAACGGGTACGTACCCGATGGATACTGGCCACCTGTACCCGCACCTGTCAGATCAAAATCTTACCTGTCGGGTTACCCGTATCCGCAGGTGGGTAGAAAATTCATTCCATACCCGCACCCGACGGGTAATTCTTACTCGACGGGTAACCCGTACCCAATAATATACCCGAGTTCACACACCAAAATATAATAGCTTCCAGCAAAACAAATCAACAATAGAGCAGCAAAACAGAAATATATTCAGGTCAAGCTAGTTGAAATAGATCAGATGCCTCATTGGGTCATTCCAAATATGCTTATATGGGGATTAAGGTTTGAGGGAGTTCTAGAATATATATACTCATATGCTTATATGGGCCAAATATGTGCTATATGCTTATATGGGCTAAAATTGCAGATGTTGGATATTATTTATGCGGGTTTTTTTTTACCCGCGGGTATGCGGGTATGGGTAGTATACACCCACATCCGTACCCGCATACCCGATGGGTACAAAAATTCATCCAATAACGTATCCGCGGGTGTAAAATGTCTTCCATACCCGCCTTCTTATCGGGTAAAACCCGTCGGGTACTCGGGTTTCGGATACCCGTTGCTATTTTGAGGCGAGCTCGAGGCCCTTGTCACGCTTGACATGGCCCACTGCAGTCTCCAAGGACCTATCCCTCCGGAGCTCGGCCACCTCACTCGGATCGAAGGGCTATTCTTATTCTCTAATAACTTGGTCGGCGAAATCCCGGCCGAGCTCGGCAGCCTCAAGAACCTCATGTCCCTAGATCTCTCCTTCAACCAGCTTACCGGCGAGATACCGACAAGCTTCGCCGGTCTAATCACACTGAAACTACTCAATCTAGTTGGGAACAAACTCCAAGGCGTAATCCCGGAGTTCGTCGGGGAATTGTCTCAGTTGGAAATCCTCCATGTATGGCAAAACAACCTTACCGGGGAGCTCCCAGCACACCTGGGCAAGAACAGCAGGCTGTTGGAGCTGGATGTCACGGACAACCAGCTCAGTGGCACCATACCGTCCTACCTCTGTGCCGGGAGGCAGCTTTGTTCTCTCATTCTGATGTGGAACAAGCTTTCTGGGCCAATCCCTGAAGACCTCGGTAATTGCAAGACCCTTGCCCAAGTTCGCCTGAACAACAACTTCCTCTGTGGTTGCATTCCAGCAGCCCTTTTTTATCTCCCCATGAATGACATCTTGGACTTGAGCAATAACTTACTCTCAGGGGAGCTCCCGGAGGTGATCCCCAGTCCCGGGCTGAGTTTGTTGTCAGTGGCGTCCAATAATCTGTCCGGTCCTGTGCCGCCGGAGATCGGCCATCTCAAGAAGTTGTCCTTGCTCAACGCCAGTGCCAATGCGCTCACTGTCGATGTTTCACGAGAGCTTAGCCACTGTGAGTCGCTGATAGTGCTAGACCTCAGTCGCAACCAGCTCACCGGTGAGATACCGAAAGAGATCACAAGCTTGAAGGTTCTGACAATGCTAAACCTGTCGAGGAACAGAATCTCCGGTGAGCTTCCGGTCGAGCTCGGTGAGATGATCGGCCTCTCGAAGCTGGACATGTCCTACAACGACCTCAGCGGCCATGTCTCGCTGCCACAGCTTCAAGGGGTGTTCACGGTTTCAGACAAGACAGACTTTGAAGGCAACCACGGCCTTTGTGTGGAGCACATCACTGCCGCTTCATGCCCCATCCCCAGGTCGTTGCAGAGTTCATGGCGTTTCAAGCCGAGGATGTTGCTGTGGCTTGTGCCAACCGCCAGCGCCATGGTGGTGGTCGTGTGCCTCGGACTAAGGTGGGGGCGCAGGGCGTGGTGGGAGACAGCGAAGCGGTGGCCTGTGACATGGAAGATGACACGGTTCCAGAACCTGGAGCTGGGAATGGACGACGTGCTCCGGTGCCTCAGGGAGGAGAACGTCATCGGAAGAGGAGGTGCCGGCACCGTGTACCGCTGCGTGACGCCGGACGGCACGGAGGTGGCCGTCAAGCGCCTGCCCGGCCCCGGCCGCCGTGACCACGGCTTCCGGGCCGAGGTGACCACGCTCGGTGGCATCCGGCACCGCAACGTCGTGCGGCTGCTCGGCTTCGCGTCCAGCGCGGAGGCCAACCTGCTCCTGTACGAGTACATGCCGATGGGGTCCTGCACGGCGACAGCGGCGGGCTCCTCCTGAGCTGGGCCGCCAGGCACCGCATCGCCAACGAGGCGGCGCGCGCGCTATGCTACCTGCACCACGAGTGCTCGCCGAGGATCCTGCACCGCGACGTCAAGTGCAACAACATCCTGCTGGACTCGGCGATGGAGGCGCACGTCGCCGACTTCGGCCTCGCCAAGTTCCTCAGCCGCGGCGCGTCCTGCTCCGGCTGCACGAGGGCGGTGGCGGCGGAGGAGTCCGTGTCCGTCGTCGCCGGCACGTACGGGTACATCGCTCCTGGTAAGAACGTCGTGCGCTGGACATATAAGCACTTGCATCGCCATACAGTGACGGGCACAGAGTGGTGCGTGCAGAGTACGCGTACACGCTGCGGGTGGACGAGAAGACGGACGTGTACAGCTTCGGTGTGGTGCTGCTGGAGCTCGTCACGGGGCGCCGCCCGCTCGGCGACTTCGGCGACGAGATCGACCTCGTCCACTGGGCGCGGAGCGTCGTGGCGAGACCCACGGACACGGCGGCAGTCCTGGCCGTGGCTGACCCGCGGCTGCCGCCAGAGCCGACCGGCCTGATCGCTCGCCTCTTCAGGGTGGGCATATCGTGCGTCCGAGAGAGCAGCCAGGCACGGCCCACCATGCGTGAGGTCGTGCACGTCCTCTCCAGCTTCGTCGTACCACCTGCGGATCCAGCCTGCTCAGTTTCTGCTCTTCCCCTGTAACTAACGGCACCACCAAGTGTATCAGGCAAGCAACCGTAGAGCAATTGCACCACTAGCAGTTTCAGTTTGTGGGTTGGAAATAACGAACGAATCTTTTACGCTTATGAGCGCATATGTAGGAATCGTCACAATTGGCCGCAGCTACATTGATAAATTGACTCGCAGCCAGGAAGGATGATCGATCACAGTCAATACTTGTGCAGGATGCAACCGCTGATCTGAATGGTTGTTTTTCTTCTGGGCCTGCTCTTCTGAATGCTGCGACCATCCGGCATCTCACTTTTATCTGGGCTTGGAGCTTGCACCGAAGATCATATACTCTGGCAGTCCTGATGCCCGAGGGCGCTCTAGCGGCAGGGCGAGCTGCCGAGCTGGGCGCGGTGGCACAACCACACCCAGTCACAACATTTATTAAACAAAACCAAATTATGTGCGCAAGATTTTAAGAATAAAATTTTGCACAATACTAGTGAAACAAAATTGTGCACACAAGATTTGTAATAAGAAAAAAAAATGCATACAAGATTTGTGAAAAAAAATTATGCACCCAACTCTTTAGGGTATATGCCTTGTTAAGATCGGTATAATCAACACACAAACGCTTTAGTTCAAACAAACAATAGAGAAGGACTACAACTTTATTTTTTGGAAGAATATTGGTGCTTCCTGAAAATAGTAGTAAAATATATCATGCAATCACACAAATCGATCTCATTCTCACTCTAATGCACAATCCACCTAATGGATGCAGCTGGAGAACCCTTCAGTGGGATGATGATGCTTCTTCACTACAGAGGAGCTTCTGAAACTTATCTCTAATCGCTTGCAACTCTTTCAGAGCATCTCCAATTGAAACACGATCCGGGCATCTCCTCCGAACAGGAAATCCCAACTTGCAGAATCGAAGTGATGCAAGAAATTCTCAGCATGGAGTTTGAAGTGGCTGGTTCCCCATCTTCTATCTCCATCCGAAGCTGTTGGTCCATGATAGTACTCACTCTGTCTGGTAGTGCCATTTGAACATACTTGTGGAGCCCCATGGCTCCAACAAATTCGTTGTCTGTCGGTCTTTTCCCAATAAACATTTCCAGCAATAGTATGCCATAGCTGTAGATATCACCGTGGGTGGATACTTCATTGCCCAGTCCATACTCTGAAACAAACCAAAATGAGATTTTCTTTTAAATTAGATAAAAATAACATCCTAAGAATTCTGATATACTCACCTAGTAAACTTTTTGTATAAAATTCATTCCCAAAGCACTACGTACAAGAATGTATTAAAGTAGTTCCTTATAATTTCAAGATATATCTTCAAAAAAAAATTGAACGTATAGATCTTCCATTTTTATAAAAGTTAGTTTTGCTGATCTCAACATATATATCTAAGTTGACACTAAGAAAGGCTTGAGCTTTGGTTGAAGCCAACATGGTGGAGTACATTTATACAGAGCAAATGAAAGGTACCTGGAGCTGCATATCCAATTGATCCTCTCATTGATGCCCATCCACTTGATGTACCTATATCTTGATGTAGAAACCTCGCAAGCCCAAAATCACCCACACGAGCAACCAAGGAACTGTCCAGGAGAACATTACTTGGTTTAAGATCACAGTGAATAATTGGCGTTGGCTTATGTTGGTGAAGGTAATCAAGTGAGGACGCCACGTCAATTCCAACATTTAATCTTGCAGTCAGATCTAGTGCCTTTGGTTCACCATCTTCGATGATATGTTTGTGCAGCCATTGGTCCAAATTTCCATTCGGTCGAAACTCATACACGAGGGCCTTGAAGTCATGGCCCATTAAAATCAATGCTTGAACAGATAGTCAATATCTTTACAAGGTTCCGATGTCGAGCATACGCATTCTGCAACAAAACTTTGAGATGCACCACGCTGCATGAGGTTGAGAACTGTTATGACCGGCGTCTACTATAATAGGCGCAGGCCCATTAGTGGCTAGAGGAGGACGCCAGTTATAGGGGCTAAGAGCCCATATTCTTATTATTAGCTATTTATGGTATTTGTTCCTTAATTATAGGATCCTAGAGAGGATAAAGACTCTGTAAACAATTGAGATTGGAATTAAGCAGAAGCAACCTAATTGTTGCCGGCTTCCCTTGGGAGCCCTAGCCGCACCTTCTCTTCTTCCTTGTGCCGTGATCACCACGGTGCCAACCCGCTGCCGCTGCCCTAAGCCTCGCCCGCCGCTCTTCCATCCCTACAACCTTCGCAGCAACTTCAGTAGGGCATCTAGTCCTATGAATCTGGTATCAGAGATGGCAGGCCCTCTTTCCACCTCCACCAGCCCACCGCCGCCGCCGCCGCCAATCACCACTGTTGCTCAGCTGCTGCCATCCGCTTCGGCGCCCGCTCCGTCCTCTACGATGTCGATGGAGCAGATGACCGCGGCCATCCACGAGCTGACCCGTTCCATGGCCGCGATGCAGTCCTACCTCGCCTCGCAGCAGCCGCTGCCCTCCCCACCGCGCCCACCGCCGCCACCACCGCCGCCGCAATCGGCCATGGCCTCCCTGCCGCCGGTGTTCCCTGCTGGGAGCCCCCAGTCCAGTGCAACCGACGTGCCCATCCATCTACTGCGGATGCCGCCCTCCCCGTCACCGATCCCATCTTATGCCCTGGCCCCGACGGTAGGGCCGGTGTATACGATGGCAACGTTTCCGGCGACAACGACGTTGGCTGCCCCAGCCCCTACCACAGGCGCCTTGATCCACTACGGTGGGACAGTACATCAGCCCTACTACACCGAGGGGGTTTTCTATGGAGACGTTGATGGCCCTCTACTCTACGGCGGCAACATGCAACACCACCACGTCACCTCATCGTCCGCAGCCTTTGCTCCAGAACCAGCAGCTCCGGGTGTCAGCCACGGCGCTCACCCTCCGCGCTTCGACAAGTTGGAGTTCCCCACATACGATGGCGCCGAGGATCCCCTCAATTGGCTCAATCATTGTGACCAGTTCTTCCGCGGGCAACGTACCCTTGCCTCGGACCGCACTTGGCTCGTGTCGTACCATCTCACCGGCGCGGCCCAAACATGGTACTACGCCCTCGAGCAAGACGAGGGCATGCCTACGTGGGAACGTTTCAAGGAGCTGTGCAATCTGCAATTTGGGCCGGCTGTTCGTGGGACACGTTTATCCAAACTTGCTCGCCTGCCCTTCACCTCCACGGTACAGGACTACTCCGAACGCTTTAATGCGGTGCTCTGTCATGCTCGGAACCTCTCCGCGTCCCAGAAGGCGGAGTTGTTCGTGGGTGGCCTTCCGGAGCACATTAAGGTCGGCGTGGAGCTGCGGGAGCCCCAGAACCTCCAAACGGCCATGTATCTGGCCAGGGCCTTTGAACGCCACGCCGCTGCCACGACGCCGGCCACTCCTCAGCGTGGCGCCCGGCCTCCTCAGCGCCCGAGCATCCCAGCGCCGCCACGGCCTGCTGCAGCGGTACCAGCAGCCTCGGGGGCGCCCACAACTCAAGCACAAGCGGGCGCTGCAGCCCCTATTCATCCTTTCCGCCGACTGTCCCCAGCGGAGCAATTGGAGCGCCGCCGCCAAGGTCTTTGCTACAATTGTGATGAGCCCTATGTGCGTGGTCATGTGTGCCAGCGCCTATTCTACCTCGAAGCGGTGGATTTCCTCGACGATGACATACCATTGGAGGTGGCCGTTGTGCCTGCTTTTCTGGAGGAGGCTGCTGTCCTTGCGCCTGCACCAACGGCGGGGCAGGAACCTGCAGCTCAGCCCTAGGTGTCCCTCTACGCCATTGCCGGCATCCGGACCGAGAATGCTATGCTCCTTCCAGTCTCCGTACATGGCCACTGGCTTGTGGCTCTCCTCGACTCTGGCTCGACGCACAACTTCATCAACGCTGATCTCCTGCGACGCCTACACCTCTCTACAGCACCGCACCCTACCATGCGGGTACTGGTGCCAACGGCGATCGTGTGCCTTGCGAAGGTGTAGCCCGGGATGTGGCCCTAGCCATTGGTACAGAGGAGTTCACCATCAGCTGCTATGGCATCAGCCTAGGAGGTTTTGATCTTATTCTTGGCGTCGAATTCCTACGTACCCTGGGCCCTATCCTCTGGGATTTCGAGGATTTGTGCATGGCTTTCACACGGGGCGCCTGGCGCATTCTGTGGAAGGGCCTGGGGTCCCCCCACGATGACATCCGGGAACTGGCCGCGCGGGCGGTCGCCGCTGCCCCCTCCCAGCCACTACTGGACCGGCTCTTGGAGCAGTTTGAGCCGGTCTTCACCGAGCCACAGGGGCTCCCTCCGATGCGGCCGTATGATCACCGCATCCACCTGCTGTCGGGTATAGCTCCGGTCGCCGTTCGCTCCTATCGCTACCCACAGCTACAGAAGGACGAGTTGGAGCGTCAGTGCGCTGCTATGCTTGCCCAAGGCATCATCCGGCCGAGCATGTCCCCGTTCTCTGCTCCCGTGCTGTAGGTGCGGAAGGCGGACAACTCCTGGCGCTTTTGCATTGACTACCGGGCCCTCAACGCCAAGACGTCCAAGGACAAATTCCCAATTCGGGTCGTCGATGAGCTTCTCGACGAGCTTCATGGGGCTCGCTTCTTCACCGAGCTCGATTTGCGCTCGGGCTACCACCAAGTGCGGATGCACCCCGATGACATCGCCAAGACGGCGTTCCGCACTCACCATGGCCATTTTGAGTTCCTGGTCATGCCGTTCGGTCTTTCCAACGCACCGGCGACTTTCCAGGCTTTGATGAACACCGTGCTCCGCCCCTTTTTGCGCAGGTTCGTGCTTGTGTTTTTCGACGACATACTCATATACAGTGCCTCCTGGGCCGAACACCTGTAGCACCTCATCATCGTCCTCCAAGCACTCCGGGCGAACCAGCTCCACCTGAAGCGTTCCAAGTGTTCTTTTGGGGCGTCATCGGTGGCCTACCTTGGCCACGTGATATCAGCAAGCGGCGTTGCTATGGACGCCGACAAGGTGGCTG